TCACCTCCTTTTTGCCTTCACGATCACACAGATCACACCAGCAATCTTTTGAAGTAGCCTTTACACTGTGTCTCTCAGGAGAGGTCAGGTAACCCTTCAAGTACGGGTAGTAGCACGATGGGCACGCTCTCTCCCCGGCAACAGATTGTAAGAATCGAATTGCTGCATCTTTGTTGGGCCATCCGCCATCGAAAGCTGGCATCGCTCAAAGTCGAAAGTGGCAGGACGGAGGTAAGAGCTGTACTTAGGGATTGCGCTCAAACCTAGTTCTCGAGCTGTCACGCTTTCTTCAGATCATGGCACATAGGGGTTTCAGCGGTTTCTTCTCACATGTGTTGCTGTCACAGGTTGAAACAAAGAGTTTGAAATCATGTCACATAAGAGTTTGAAACCATGTCACATGATAGCTGAAAGACTGTTTCGGCTGCAGCATCCAATCCGCCCATGCATTCGGTCCTGGCGCAGCAGTCGCTTCAGCCCACTGCGTGGCTCCAAACCCTGCAGCAGAAAGGCCACACAGCGAGGCGGAGCTCCATGGACATGTTGCCCTGACTTTGTCACACTCGTTTTTTCACTAGCTTTGGGGTGAACGGACATCACAGCGCATTGCGCACGAACCTCATGACTATATAATCTTGGCTTATGCGGGCTTTGACACCTGCGAAACTGTAACCTGCGACACCAACATTCCAACCTGTGACGCGCAGCCGCCGCGTCCCAATTGCAGCCTGAAACAACCGAAAATGGTATTCAAACAAATACTTGAAAGAATCAAAAGGTTCCACAGCAGCAGCCGAGAAGCAGCTCAAATGCTGAGTTGATGACTTGTGTCAATGACAAAGGTCGGTGACAATGATCTGGCAGCATCAAGGCATGAATTCTCAAACTTAGCAGCATTGAAAACAAATGCACCGTGACAGTGACTCCAATGCCAGTTGACAATGACTCTGAATGGTTGCAATGAAGTGCACTCCAATGACAGTCTTTGCCGTTTCACACGTGATGAAAAACTTTGCCCACACCCACAATGAAGCCCTTCAAGTTCAAAACCCGGCCTTGGCTCTGACACATGGGAAATGGGACAGGATCATCATCATCTTCCAACCAGGTCTCCAAGGCAGCGTGGCAGAATACAAAAGGTCCCCTCCTGATTCCTGATCACTGTTTACTTCTGTCTGCAACTGTCTACTTAGCCCTTCAACAGTCTACTACTGTCTGTGGTCACGTTTTCCTGGGGAGTCTTTTTGAAGTAGCGCCTGACACTGACTTTATCTGATTCTGAATGCGGCAAGGTTGTTGGTCAAGGTTGAGTTCAAAACTTCTGGACTGTTCAATGCCCAGTCAGTCGCCGGCCAGCCTGAAAAGCCAAAAGCTCGCACGCAGCAGTCTTGTGGACGCAATATCCTTCCCCAGCGAATTCGCTACCAGCTGTGAAAGGTTGAAACTAAACTCAAAGCTAATGTGACATTGATTCTGATTTCCTTAATTCCATCGATTCTGATTTCTTTCAATCTTTACCGTCCCACGAATCTTCGTGCCAGAAATTCACTCCCCAATGTTTTCAAGTGACAAGATTTTGCAGTAAAGCATGTTGGAACGTTGAAAATGAAATTCGGCATGTTCTTGGATGAAGCCTTCCAAGACATGAACGTTTGCTCGCCTTCAACGTCAGCAGGAACTTCGTTACCTGATTCCAAATGATGCTGAACCCAATTTCTGCATGATTCGCTGCAAGGTGGAAACGTGAACCTCATTTTGCAATTCAACTCGTCGCAACTAAAAATGGAACAGTTTGCCACTGAGTTTGAATTTGAATTGCGCTGTCGCATAAATCACATGAGCTTGAATGTGATTGGCTGTCACATGAACATGAGTTTGAAGTTGACATGCCCGCTGCCATCAACCAAGCTGCATGCGCATTTTTCCATCCACTGCAATTTATGAATAAATCCAGGCCCACAAGACCATCACAAAATCTAGCCATGCTAGGATTCTTGATCAAGCCGGCATCCTTTCATCTCAGGAACATCAAGCGGCAGCAAGTCATTGAGTAGGGCTTTAGTCATCCAAGACCGTATCGAACTCCTGAGTGGCCTGTACCTCCTGGTTCGTCTCGTCCAAACGTCGTGCGTCTTCTCGGATCTGGGCCATCATTGTGTCACAGCTTCGAACCACTGTGAAAGGCCTAGCAGGGGGAAGCCCAGCTTCATCTGCGGACCTCTTCAAAGGTTTCAAGGTACCGCTAATCTTCACATCTCGGCCAGGACCCTGGATGGACAAATTGTATGTCCAAGCCTTCGGATGATACGCCTGGTGGCCGGCAACAACTTTCCGACACTCAATCAAAAGATGACGCCAGTAATTTACAATTTTACAATCGCAAAAATATCGCCGACCATTTAGTCTGTGTCATGTGGCACCTGTCAATCGACTTGATAAAGGCAAAGGCTGGGACGAAGACAAGGTTCCTGGTCCTGGTCCGAGCCTAAGCCTTTCTCAAGCCTACTGAAAACTCCCACATTGGAGGCCACCCCCAACCTCCTCCTCAGTCACAGGAGTGCCATCTTCCGAAACGACCACGGTGTACGTCCCAGGCTTCCACTGAATACATCCAAGCACGTCCTTGGCCTCAAGCTTCTTCCATGATCTAGCCTTGATCAAGCAGGTCTGGCTGACGGGCCAGAGGGTCGGCCGCAGTTAAAGCACCATCCTTGTCAGCGCTGGCCATTTGGCTTACGATTTCGACGGAGGCCTGGCTTATGCTTGTTGTGTGCAGTCTGGCTTTGTGCAGACTTTGGGCCGGGTCTGAAATCGTTCTGAGTCTGAATGTTCAGTCAACATGTTGCCAAATTTTGCCAAATCAACCGCTGCACTGGTTTGTCAACTGCGACTGGTTCAAAGCATGCCGGAGCCACCTGCGCAACCTCGAAGTGCGCGTGCTCGACAACGATTTGACCTGCCAACGTCAACGATTTGTTGGTTGAAAGCCTTGCCAAAAGCAATGGACACACTGTCACATGACATTTGCGCATTGTTTCAGATTCAAACCACGTGGGACATGTGTGTATCATTTGTCAAACTCGGATTCCCAATGGATCAAGAACCCATTTTTGACACTTGTCTGCCTTGCCTTCTGTCTGCACCAGCACCTGTCATGCTTGCAAAACACGATAAGCTTGGCGGATGAAAGCTTTGAATTCGACATTGATTGGGTCTAGATGGATACTCAATTTCATTCAAGTTGGCTCGGCAGATGGTTGTCTGACACCTTTTTCGCACCTTCTTGGCCGTATCTACTTCTTGGCCGTCTTGGCCTTCATTGTCTTCTTCGCCTTCATTGCGTTCGTCTCCTTCATGGCCTTCATCGCCTTCATGGCCTTCATGGCCTTCTTCCCCTCCGGTTCCACCGGCATCTTTTTTATTTCAACTTTCGGCTGGATCTTCAGGCCCTGGATCTGCTGGCCCTTGTTCTCAAAGTCCCTCGTCCAGATTTCCGTCACTTCGTCCCCCTCCCATCTCAAATGTTGGAGCCTGAGCGGTTTTGGCATGGCCATCGGGCCTGGAAACACGTGCTGCTCAAAATTTGAACCGAGGCACTTGTAGCCGCCCGCAACATGTGTCTTCCACTTGTGCTCATACCGCTCAGAAGTGGTGGAATGGCGCACCATTGCTCAGAAGTGGTGATGGATGGTGAAGGTCTTATGGCTGATTGAAAGAGCTAAGACCGCTGCAGATATAGTAAGCCAATCACAAATCCAGGTGCATTCGCTCATATCATAAACTTCAGAACTTCCAAACGCGCCGGGTGCACTTCGAAGATATTGAAGTGCGAAAAGACAAGCGTCCATTCCTTGGAAATGAGCTCCATCAAGAATCCTACGCTGAATCCGGAATTTGAATATGAATGTGACAAGGAGTGACTGTGAATCTGAACAGGAAGAGAAACCGAATCTGAGTGTCAGTCTGACTAGAATAAAGGATTGAGTCATGAGTTGATGTGAAGATGCAACTGTCACTCTGAGGGTAGAACCCAACCTGGCTGGCAACGGCAATAAGAAAAGCTACGGTAAGTGATAGGTCATTGAAGTGCTCTGCAACATCCAAACATGCCAGATGTACGGCCCAAGCATTGAGCTTGAAGTTGATGGCATGAATTTGGACCACCCTCCCATCCTCCCACCTTCCCACCAGCAGATCCAGGATCTTCCAAGGCTCCGCCCCGCAGGTTCAGCAGGTTCAACCCCCCAACACCTTTTATGTAAAACCTCCGATTATACTGCAAGTTTTCGGAGGACAACCTGCAGGTCACATCCAGATACTTGATAAACTCGAGTATCGGACGCTTTTTTCTTTGCAGAGATGTGATATGTGACATTTAGTAATAATACATCATGTTACCAACCCTAGAGTGATTCTAGACATCCTGACATATTATAAGGACACTTCAGTTGTTCTTGGATGTTGTGTTTTGGGGTGTTGGGCACCTTACCCCCCCTCCCCCCGCCCTAGACCATCTTTTAATTCATAATGCAGCATTCAGACTCAACCGTTCAAAATAGTCAGTTACATGAATCACTTATTACCTTCAAATTTAGATTATCTGTCCAAAGCATATTCTCCAAGAGAGACTCGCTTATACATACATGATGCCATTCAGACTTGACGGTCCACAAGACTCACTTAATTTTTTTAATGTGTCCTCAAGTTCAGACTCAACTGTTTAACAATATTATGAATCATAAGTTAAGAAATCTTCTTCTTCCTCCCCTTCTGCTTTAGCATCCAAATCAAAGGTGAATAGGAAAACTGAGAGCATCTTCATCTTTTTCCTCCCCCTCTTCTTTAGTATCAATATCATTAGCGTCAGAAACAAGAAAACTGAGAGTCAAAAAAAAGTGAGAGTCATTTTTGCAAGCCCCTCTGATCTATATAATATAATCTAATGCTGTGTGTTCATACCAGATTCCACGAGTCACGACGTCACCCAGTCTGCACTCCAGGAGCTCCAAGGCAAGCGCTACCGGGCCGACAATCATCGCTATGTGGGCTCCTGGTATGGAGAGCATGGCGACAAGGTCGAGGAGATCAAGGCCGTCCATGGATGGCGTCGGGGGGGCGTACGGACGGGTGTGTCTCAAAAATGGCCGTCCATCCTCATTTGCCAGCTAGGCCAAATTGAGCTATACTTGGATTTGGGATCGACGCTTCATGATCAGTTTTCAATCGACTCTTCATCACCCCGTGCCATTATGGCACTACGCATGTGATTTTTCGTCTACGCCCGTCCACGTGGTGCACAGACCATCAGGACAAGGTAGGGCCATATATGTGGTACATGATGTACATGGTCGTGGCACGATCCACAATCACATTGGATTCATGGTCCATTCGTCATGGATGTTTCCATTCGTCGTATGTCAAAAGATGTTGGAATACTTTGACATGCCATTCTCGGACCAGGACGGCGCACTGAACCAGAACCACATACTTGTACACAGTTCACTCTCGCAAGAGAAGCTGGTGATACAGATTGACTCAGATTTTGTTGGATAATGTTGGTTGCGAAGATCGTGTCCTCTACTCTACTTGACGCTTTCTGCTCCTATGTTTGTTTTGTATTCTATCGCGCCTTGGGAATCCGTTGCACGTGTGTTCCGAATGGAATTCATGCGACTGTCGCATGTCTCCCTGCGACTGAGACGCTCTAAATGTGGTTTGTCCAAGGATGTCCAGGGTGAGAGTGGGGGGACAAGGACGCCACCAACGAAAGCCACCGTGTCGTCTCCCCGCGTGACACCGCCATGCTGCTCCCATGTTGTTTGTCGCCACCGGTCGCAGGCGGAGTTGTACCACAATGGGCCTTTGATCCTGGGCCTGGAACCTACGGAGGACCGGCGGAACGGTTCCACGGCGGTTCCCGAACATCCCCGGCCTAGCTAACCCCGTGACGGAGAGGGGTTGGAAGTGAGAGGTGTTGTGTAGTGGGTGGGAAAATACAACTTGTAACATGATGGACATGATTAATCTCCAATATCTCCAGAGTGTTGGTGATGCTATTAGGTTCGGGATTGTATGAGTGACATTTAATATAATATATATATACAGTATTGAAATGGTGAATTCCTATTTTGAAGAGGCATGCTCAAGTGACTCAAGTGACACAAGTGGGATACAATGGGTAGATGGTTTGCTTGGGGTTGCATCACGCGGCACGCGTGTATTCGCCAGGGCCCGGCCTATAGTAAGATCAGATCGGCCTATAGTAAGATCAGATCAGCCCATGGCCCATGTAGACTCTAGAACTCTTGATTAATAAACCCCCCATATGTCCAATTCAAATCGGGGGGCCTTATTAATCAAGAGTCTACATTAGTATCCTTTTAAAATCTATTAACTCTTTTTCATGTTCAGTTTTCGAGGAGATCCATGAGATCCACGAGATCCATGAGATCCACGGCCATCTTGTGTGTCGTCTTGTTTTGTTTTGTACCTGCAAGCCTTGAAGTCCCTTGGCCTCCACCGCAGGTTTCATGGCACAAAGGGAAGTTAACGGCTTGCCTGTCTACATCCTACACCCGATGACCTATTTGGATGCCTGACCCCAATGACAGGACACCCAGATGGATCCAGATGGTTGAGTGTTTTTCTGAATGTTTTTCCTGCTCTGGAGGACTTCATGTGGTACTCTGAGGGCATCTATCGTTCTCCCAGCTCGAGTGATCTGATGCATTCGACCAGCAACTTCGAATGGGAGCGCGTGGACCATGCGGTCTTGCTGGTGGGCTACGGAGAGGAGAGATCCGTAGCCGCCGAGCCATGCATGGCCTTGCTTGAAGAATCATATGAGCAAACATCGCAAGATGAAATATGCAAGGCCGCCTTGTGCTTATGAGGGAAGGGCCGTACGCTCACAGATCTATGATCTATCCGATGTGCAGAAGGGCCGTACGGGCTTGTCTTTTTTTTGGGGGAACCTGGCATGGCATGTCGATTCTTGCAGCTCAAAGTTGCTTGCACATTGGGACAATCGCACGTTGCATGCTTGTTTTGTGTTTTGGGCATGCTAGTGATTGGATGGACACGCTTTTGCAAGGAGAATGGAAGGAAGTATTGGAAGCTTCAGAACAGCTGGGGTGAGGACAGAAGACAGAACCGTCTTTGCAGATGCATCCTTTCGTGAGCAGGTGTACTGCAGGCCCCCCCGGTAGTCCACACCGGAGTCCCCTGCCTGAGTTGTTGGGCTTCCGGACTAACAAAGGGTACGGGAAGCAACATGCTTAGATGGCTGAAGGGCAGTAGACCGGACGCCCGACATTGTCCTCTGCATTCATCCTTACTTTATTATCCTTCCGGGTCCTTCCAAGCAGGACTGGGGTGAAAGAGGTTTCTTCCGGATGGTGATGGGCGAGAATGACTCAGGCTGGACGAGCTTGCGGGTGGATTGGAGTGGTGACTGGGCAGTTTGGAAGGTCCCTCAGGGATGAGCAATGCAGCAGGCAAACAGGTGATGTGAGATCTGAAAGTGAATTTCCACAAAGTTTGTTCATGCTGTTTCTCAGTTTCAGTCCCTCCCATCCTCCTCCATCCACCCTTTTCTATCAGCCGGTTCCTTCCATGTCATCCGTCGAACCTTCCGTCGCCTTCGGCTTCACCTCTCGCCTTCCTCCAGCGCCCTCCGTTCTGCAAGGCATTGAGTCGATTCCAGAGGCAGCAGATGTTGTGCAGGACAGGCAGAGATGGCGTTGGAGATGTGAGATAGAATTAGAACTTGGAGAAGTGAGGGTCGACCATCACAGGATTCTTCCTGGTCGACAATCACAGGCTCAAAACACGAAGACCAGGATGAGGCAGCATGACTTGTGGGGCCAAATAAGAACAACTTTGCAGTGGGTTCCTCCTCACTCACACAGCTTCGCCAGCTTGGGAAGGGCCTTCAAAGCGTGATAGGGCGGTGATTTGATTCCTCAAACGAAACACCTCTTCGAGGTCCTCGCATGTCCTCGATGTGGGGCTCGGGCTCCGGGTCATTGAGGTGGAGTGAACCCATCTTGACTGATCAGATCTCTTGACTCTAGACTTAGACTGCAGATACTGATTTCATGTTACGCAAGAAACACCTTTTAGCAGCTTGATATACTTTCCAGGTATCGCATGTCTAGGAAACCGCTACTCCATGTTTCGAAGAGCCGAGCTTCCTGCTTCCACCAGGATGAGCAGGACGGTCGGCAAGTTCAGAGCTTCTTCCAGCAACTCCAAGCACCGACGAAGAGAGCTTCGACGGACGAGCTCCAGTTGACGGAGAGGATCGAACATTTGCTCCAGAGCAAATTGACACTCAGAGGCTAAAGGCTTTCATTTGCTTTCGCGCAGGCGGAGGCGCAGGCCTAGAGGCGAGGTCGGTGAAGAGGAGAGATGGGTTTGATCTACGTTTGATCTACACTCCCTGGAAGTAACATGGTTACGTGGAGAATGACACCTTGGAAGACAATTTTCCACTACAAACAGGTGGTTTTCTACTTCCATGTTAGTTCTAGATTTTAGGGAGTGTATATTACACACTGGATATATATATATAGAATACTGGGATGAATCCAAAGACATGAGCAAGGACTTCTCTCGATCTTGGAGCCCTGAGAAACGGATGGGTGCGGGTTGGATACTTCTTGATACAATTTAATTCCGATAGGTATGAACATCCATCGGCAAGCTCTTGTGTTGTTATTGGCTGTCGTTGAATGTTTTATTGGACCGAAGTACCGCAGATGTTTGCATTTCGTACCTTGTCGGGTTTGTTGCTGGCGGTATATCTCCGAGGATCGGAATATCCCCTGAAACAGTTTGTGATCAACCGAACTTCTGACAAAAGCTAAGGAAAGTGAAGGCTTGAACGCCTGACATGAAGACGACCGCAAGAAAGAGCCATTAGTCTCGTTTCACCCTGCAAGGGTTGCTCTTAACGCATCTGCATTGCATCTTGATGTTTCTTGGACATTGTTGGATACACAAAGCCAGAGACAAACAATACATGTTTGACAAGAGCAGACCCACTGCGCAAGCAAAAGGATCAACCGCGAGCAGGTAGATGTGCTTACTGGAGTTAGCGTAGCAGATATATCAACCATCATCAAGCACTTGCAGACAGCGGGCAAGGGTTCCTTTTGTTATGATTTGTCCTTGGCTTGTCACAGCTTGATGTGGTCTGGCTTCAAATTTGGTACTTCCATGACTTTCATGCTGCTGCAGTGATCTAGCTCAACTATGCTCAACGCGCGTCCGTCTTAGTCTGATGAGATGTCCAAGGACCGACCCTTCACCATTGCCATAGTCGGTCCCCAACCATCTTGGCCGTTCTACCGCAACCTGTCCGGTGTCCCCCACAGAAAGAGTTGACTCTTGGATTCGAGCAAACAACCGACCATTCCTGGAAGCCCAACCCGGTCGTCTCCTCCACCGTCCGCGGTCCGTCTCGTCCGTGTGCCGAGTCATGCGGCCAATGTGGTGGGCTATGGTGCCAAAGTGCCGATCTTTGCCCGGTGGACCCGGTAGTTCACCTTGGTACCGGAGGTGTTCAGCGGTGGAGGAGGTGAAGAAGCGGAGGTCTCCTGGGTCGCGGTAGAGGATGATTCTCATTGTTAGAGGGAAAGAGCGATGGAAGAGGGGATACGACGACAAGAGTGGACCTTCTGAGGTCTCCATAAGCCATAAGCATCCATACGCCTTGGTGTTTGGTAGGCAAGCTGATCCGTTTTCTTTGATGTGTTCAGCAGGGATTGCCACAAGGGGTTGATTTGGAGCGGGGATGTGTGGTGGCAGACAGGGGAATTTTGAGTTGTTGCCTCCTGTGTTCCAAAGCTGCCCGACACATGAATTTGAGTTCGGTGCATGATGAATGTGTGTTTCATGACCGGCCTCGCCCCTGGATGTTGGAACCTAGTTTGGAACCTGTTGCCCCGCAAGACTCCACAGCGAGACCACTGGGCCAGCATGCCAAGAATCGAGTGCTTGCTGACCACGGCTTTTCGAAGTAGATCACTGGTAGTATCACTCATGAGGGACAGGGACCCGCTGTCTAGATGATGTTTGACCACGTATGACGGTTGTGTGCTTGGATTGGCACTGGATGCCGAATGTTGTCTCAGGCCCAGATTGCTCCCATGGTTGCCTCGCAATTGGCTCGTGTGCTGCAAAGGCACGGTGAGAGGCGCGCTTTTTCTACCGACATCCAGCTGAAAGTCATCTATCTTTGCATGAATGGGACGTCCCCAACGGGTTCACTATTTTTGTTATTCTTTAGGGAAAACGTTTGGACCGTTGAGGGATCAAGGGAGAGGGCTAACAGCTACATGCTCAATCGCACTGGCCCCTTTGACTTGTGTTGCCCGGCATCGAGACGTCATCAAGGTTTGAGCAGTACTTGATCATTCCTGTGGTGCACTGGAAGAGATGCACAAGTAGAAACGCAATGTTGACATACTCTGGTTGTGGATTCAGCCCCCATGTGGAGATGCGTTGACAAATCTCTAGCGACTAGCGCTCTCCAGCGTTTTTCCACAGAGTCAACACTACGTAGCTACCACTGGTATCCACCGACTGATTTGTGAGTTTCTTTTATGCCTCTGGGCGAGGCATAAGAGGCGTCGAGCTACAAATGCTGAGGCCGCTTCTTTCGCTATTCATTTCCCAGACGTTTCTTTCATTAATGTTATTTCATGATCATAAAACTGATTGCAGCAGCCTGGAGGCATGCGCAGTCTTTCTGAAAGGAGTCCAACAGCACCAAAAAGCCACCGGCTTTGTTCCAAGCACTGCAAAAGCACACCGAAAAAAGTAAAGCCGATAGTCAAGCCGTATATCTTTCTGGTGTTTTGTCAGACTCCGCAGGGCAAGCAAGTGGCCATAGCGGTGGATAGCTCCATCTGGGCACTGGGCATGATCTGCGAACATCAGGCGCTATCTGCCGACCTGACGACAAAGACACTGAACATGGTACCCTTTTTCACCTTAAAGACACCGTTTGCGTCGCCTTTGAAGCGTTTGGGTCCATTTGAAGCGTTTGGGTCTGGGTCAGCACACGAAGATGGATGTGAGAAGCTCATGGATTCGGCTTTTGAGAAGCTCATGAGCCTCATGAGCTACCTCTCCAAAAGACGTTGTTCTACTCAGGGATGCCCATGTGGTGCGTTCCCAATGGAGGCACCTCTCCTTGTGTTTGTCGACACATGGGTCCTTTTCTTTAGGAGCAAGACAGGTTATGTATGGTTATGTAACGATGGATTCTTGTTGCATGATCATGCACAGACTGGTACTTAGTGCGTATAGTGGGGTAGAGTAGGATGTTGGATCAAGCTCAGAGTTCTATTTATTCCGGAAGAGGAACGTGTTTGGCTTGCCAGGAGCGGAACGTGGGAGGTGACTCCACCAGTGCATGGAAGATGTGGTTGCTCCAAGCTCAGATTTCTACATGAATTTGGACTATCGTTCATGAAACGGACCTATCCAATGTACATTCTGATAGTGTTTCCAGAGGTTTGATCTTCATAGATCTTCAGCCTTCCTGCACTGGGCTGGAGGCAAAGCACTGCCACGTTTGCAACGCTTGACTTGTGGCTCAAGCCCGCCATCGCAAAGCACCACTGTCGCTGTTGTCCTGACACCTTCTCGTTCGAGATGCCTAAGTTGACGATTGACGATGTTGACGTGGCCGGAAAGCGAATCTTCATGCGCGTTGACTTCAATGTGCCACAGGACAAGGCTGACCCCACGAAGATCACCAACACTCAACGTATTGATGGTGCCTTGCCCACCATCAAGACGCTTGGCTTGGAGAAATCGGTAGGTCCATCAACCGAAAGACCATAGAAAAACTGCTTCTTAAGGATTGTCAACTTGGCCAAGACCCCCAAAAGGTTGTGCCCCGGTTTGAATGCCTAAATGCCCAACCCCCAAGGTCTACTATATAGACCCCCAAATAGATAGAAAAGTAGATCCCCCTAAAAATGTATTGGACACCGCATCTATCTATTTGGGGATCACTATAGATGTCAATCTCCAAAACCTCACAAGTCCTCACCAGACCCATAACACTGGAATCTCCATCTCAACACCAAAACCACCGCATCACCCCTCTCCTTTACACTTAATTTGGTTCCCAACACCGATTTTATATATCTTTCATACCCCAACCCCATGTCGCCCCATGTCACCCCCTCATGTCCCAGGAAGGTCTTGGAGAAGGGTGCCAAGGCAGTGGTCTTAGCCTCCCATCTGGGACGTCCCGACGGTTCCGTGGTGCCCAAGTTCTCCATGGCTCCGGTGGCGAAGATCCTGGAGGACCGAGGGTCGAGGGTGGAAGAGAAGGTGTGGAAGGACCGGAGAATTCCATGGCGGTCATAAGATAAGATGTTGTATATATTTGCATATAATATAGATGTTATGGTTATGACATGTTGATAAAGTATGTTAAAGTCAATGTTTGTACAATACATGTACCTATACTAACATCTACTACCCTCTCAAGTGGTAATGGAATGCAATGGATAGCAGTGTTCATTTGGCTTTTGCGGGATCAGACTCTTGGGCTCCAGCGTTTCTGCGTTGGGGTGTGGCTCGGACCCCAAGCCTTTTTGATCCCACGTTAAAAAAAGTAGGCATGACCTACAAAACGGACCAGTTGGAGCAGCAGTTTCTCATATATAAATATGTTTCATTATGTTTCTATAATTAGTCATGTGTTTGGAAGTCATGCAGGGAATCGGCCAGTTGACAGTTGATGATGTCACTGAAGCATCAGCAGGTCATTTCTTTTGGTTTCCATTTGTCGTTAGAATTTCTTTGACCTTACACATGGGGGACTACCATTAATCCTTCACTTTGAGCAGTTTTGAGCCGGGCCACATCCCTAGTTTCAGCAGGTCTCACCACTGGCATCAACGAACCCAACGAACAACGCCCGTGCTGCCCGTGCTGCCGCGACGCCGGTCGATGGGTTCCACGCCTCGAGGTTCGCTTCTCCTCGGGACTCGGAGCTTGGGATCGATGAGACCAATAGGGAGACCTGGAAAACCATAGGTTTGACCAATAGGGGGACCTTCCAAGCAATGGCCCAACCAATGGGATCTACCAACTTTTGGTATCTTAGACCTATAGGATCCTATAGGGGGACCTTCCAACCAATGGGTTTTGGATGGTTTGCGACTGGTCGAAGGTTGGTATTGAACCTCACTGGGCCCAACCTAATGGTTTTTCGGTCTATTTCCTTCCAAGGGAGTCTTTGGTTCCGTCTCTCCCTTTATTTCAATACACAGCTGAAGCCCGTGGCCTTCGGGACAAGACTTGAGGAGAAGCTGGCGAAGCCCGTGACCTTCTGCCAGGACTGTGTGGGTCCCGAGGCTGGGGGAACTTGCCTGGCGGGGACAGCGGTGAAGGGTTCTTTCGCCGTGGTCCTTTTAGGGTTGAAGTGAATGGTGGAGGCTTTAAATTGGACACAACCTTTGACCATCCTTCGACCTGTTTATGTTTGATCTGTAATTCACCAGCATGTTCACTGCCAATCCGGCGACTGACATGAGTCCGCAAGTCGCGCTATAAAATCAGTATGTTGTTGCATCGGAATTGTAGTGTTGCATATGTTGGCAACAGTTGAAGACATTTCCTAGCACACACACGGTCACAGATAGAAGTGTTGAAGCAGAAAGTGCAGCCTTCGAGGTCTTCAGATTCTTTCAGAGTGGTCCCAGCTTCCAGATAGATCACCTGCATCAAGAAATAACAACCAAAACTCCATATATTATGGTCCATATGGGTGTGGTTTGGAATAGGGAGACCCCTCCAAGAACTTCTAGGAAAATCAACAACGGACAAAACCCATTGGTTGGGAGTATAGTTCTTGAAATGCAAACCCATGTTTACAGTCCAGACGTTTTTGAATTGGAGGCATTACACCAAGTACATCTCCCGGGGTCCCGCATCATAACCATTGATACATATAATATATATATATATTATACTATGCATATATAATATATACACATTGATATCCATGGATGTCCATGGATGCC